AGACCTTCGACGGCAAAGCTCGAGCACCATGAACAGGAAGTCACTGTCCTCGAAAAATCCGTGGAAACCAACGACATGCTGATAGGCGAGGCTGCGGTGAATCGCTATTTCCATTGACATCTTTTCCTTCTGGTGCGGCTTGAGCAGCAATGACTTGGGCACAATCTTGCAAGCGTAGAATTCCAGCGACTCCGGGTCGGTGATCTCGAAGCACTTGGCAAAGCCTCCCTTGCCCAGAAAGCGGCCGCGCAGGTAGCGCCGCCGTGTGCGCGGGTCCACTAGGATCTCCGGGATCTCTTTCGCCGGCTGGGCAGCCGCCGTGGCGCCGAGAGCCGAGATTCTCGGGGGCCTGGCCTTCCCAATCTCGACCGGTCCCCGTACCATCTTCCCTGACGCCTTCGCCACGCTCATGGCTCCGACTTGCTCTGCGGACAGGACCCGGGTCTGGGAAGAGGCAGAGGCTCGGCACCACTCTGCTCCTCCTCGAATTCAAACGCAGCGCCGGGAACGTTACAGAAGCCTGCTGAAAGATATTTTTTAAAAAGCAGTATCATAGGTTGGCCACCACTCCCTCCTCTGTCAGTTTATCATACTGCAGTGAGTTGCATGTTGCTGTCATGCTAGAAGCTATGACATCAGTATTTGAAGTACCAGCAGGGTCAACTACGGCAGACAGATTTCAAGACAGTTTTCACACTAAGAAGAAAATCCTGATGATCTATTTTTCAAAATTAGCCAATGAAGCTCTTATGGATCACAAGAAAACACTGTCAGCCTTTCTTGCTTTGGACTCATCATTAGCAAGGCTCAGTCATTACAAGACTATTTCAAATTTCATAGAAGACTCTCAGTAAAATGGACTGGACAGACACAATATCCTCAATGGTGGCCTTGAACAAGCAACTCTTGTGAGGATGACTTGGGTCCCAAGCACATTTCATTGTAAAATCACTGTGAGCCAGAATCAATGCAATGGCAGCTATTTCTCCACTGATCCATTTCTATCTATCCAGAAAATGGTAGCAAAGGATTGCATTTGACATCAACAAATATAACTTCTGCAAATGAGCAGACTTTCTGAAGGGTATTTTGGCAATAGTTATCAATAGTTAAGAATTTTCATGTACTTCGACTCAGTAATTTCACTTCTGGAAAGCTAACATGAGGAATCAATGAGGAATATACACGAATACTTAAAAGTCATTCAATATAGTAAGAATTTGAGGGTGGCAGGGGGAAGCCCAGGAAGGTTTAAATGTTTCCAGAATAAATAATTAGGCAGACGAAATGCAGTTTAGATGCATGACAGAACACTAGACAACTGTTTAAAATGTTAAAAGAACATCTATTGCAGGCAAGATGAAAATATTATCAAGCATGATTCCCAGTGTCCTACCATGCAAATGAATATTTATGTAGCTCGAGTCCTAAATGGAGGCTTTAGAAAGGGACATCATTTTAGGAAAAGAGAACTGGAAAGGGATGTTAAGTCCAACTCTACCAATAAATAACTTTATAACACAGGTGGTTTTTATTGTGTACTGTCAAGTTGGAACACCCATAGCTGACTCTCCAGTGAGTTTTTCGGAGGCAGGAAATTGCACAGGAGCTGACTGCCCCTCTTTCATCCCCAGAGCAGCTGGTGGATCCGAACCATTTATCTTTGTGCTGGCAGTGCAATTTCTTACCACTAAGCCACGCGGAGCTCCTTTTGACAAGAGGTAGATGACTTTATATAATGTTATGACGTATTGCTGAATCAACAATGACTCATAGCAACTCTATAAACATCAGATCAAAATGTTGCCCTATCCTGCATAATCCTCACAATCTCTGCTGTGTAGAAGCCCGATGCCACAGTCACTGTATCATCTGTCTCACTGAACGTCTTCCTCTCTTTCACTGACCCTCTACTTTTTACAGTATAAAGCTTTATTCTTAGGACTGGCCCCTCCTAACAACATGACCAAAGTTTGTGATGATGAAGTTTCATCATCCTTGCCTCTGAAGTACATCCTGGTCACACTTTTTTTTTTTTAATTAAGATTTTATTGAAGGTTTACAAAGAACTTGGGTTTCCAATCATTCATTGTTGTACATTTTCCTTCCTGCCTCCCCTTCCCTGAGATTGCTTTTTTCTTTGGGGAAAAAAGTCCTTTCATTGTTATACAGCCCCCACCCCCAAGACCACTTTACTATGCAGCTCTTATTCTGGACTCTTCTCATACCAATAATACCTAATCATATATTCCTTTTATACAGTTCTCTCCCTCGTCTGTTTCAATACCATGTAGATTATTTTTCCCCTCTTATCTTAGTTTCCCCCAGCCCCCATGTTAATCCTGTTTTATAACAGTGGCATTATGCCATTCTTGTCTTTTTGTGACTGAGATATTTCAGGTATTTTGTATAATGAGTTTTGTATAATGAGTTCCTTGTTTTTCAACACAGCATAGTATTCCATTGTGTGAATATACCAGAGCTTCTCTATCCATTCGTTGATGGGCTCTTGGGTTGTTTCCAGTTCTTTGCTATTGTGGAACAAAGCACCAATAAACAGGGATGTGCATATAACTACTTGGATGGCAGTTATGGTTTCTTTAGAGTATATTCCCAGTAGTGGAATTGCTGGGTCAAATGGTATTTCTATTTCCAACTTTTTAAAAAACTGCCATACTGCCTTCCACAGTGGTTGCACCATTTTACACTCCCACCAACAGTGAATAAGTGTTCTAGTTTCTCCACAACCTCACCAGCATTTGTTGTTTGCTGTTCTATTTAATTTTGCTATTTTTACTGGGGCCAGATGATATCTCATAGTTGTTTTGATTTGCATCTCTCTTAGAGCCAGGAATTTTTAATATTTCTTCATGTGTGTATTTGCCATCTGAATGCCTTCTTTGGTGAAGTGTCTGTTCATATCCTGTGCCTATTTTTTAATTGGGTTGTTTACCTTTATCTTGTTGTGGTGCTTGAGTATTTTATAAATTCTGGATATAAGTCCCTTATCTGACATGTCATTACCAAAAATGTTTTCTCAGTCTGTGGCTTTCCTTTTTACCCTGTTGGAGAAGTTTTTGGATGTGTATAGAGATTTTATTCTTAGAAGATATCATTCATCTATTCTATCCTCTCCTGGTTGTAGGCTGGTTGCACTTCTTCCACAGCAGATTTTTTTGTTCTTCAAGGCAATCTGTGGTATATTCAATACTCTTTGTCAATATCACAGTTCTGTAGTCTTTCCTATGGACTGTGCAACCTTCACACTCATCATATGAAGCAAGTGAAAATGCCATGGTTCGGGTCAGGCACACCTTAATCTAAAGTGCCATCTTGACGTTTTAGCACTTTAACAAGGTCTTTGTCAGAAGATTTTTCCCAATGCAACCATCTTTTTTATTTTGTGACTGCTTCTACAATGTATGTTGATTGTAGATCCAAATCATCAACAACTTCAATATTTTCTCCACTTATCATGATGTTGCTTATTTTTCCATCTCGAGGATTTTTGTTTCTGTGATTCTGAGATGTAATCCATATTGAAGGCTTTGAATTCAAAAGCATTTACTTAAGTTTTCATTTTCTCCAAGCATGATTGTGTCATCTGAGTGACACAGATTGTTGGGTCTTCCTTCAACCCTGATGCCACCTTCTTCTTCATATAGTCTAGCTTCTCAAATTATTAGCTCAGACACATTCAATAGGTGTGGAGAAAAGATACATCCTGACATGTACCTATAATGATTTTAAGCCATGCAGCAGCCCCTTGATCTGTTCAAACAACTGTTTCTTGGCCTTCATACAGGTTTCACGTAAGCATGATTCAGTGTTGCAGAATTTCCATTCTCTTCCATGTTATACATAATTTACTGTAACTTACACAGTCAAATCTTTGCATAATCAATCAAACACAAGTAAACATCTTTCTGGTATACTTTTATTTTAGTCAAAATCCATCTGATGTAAGTTATGACCCCTAGAGTTTTACAGCACCAGTTATAAAGCTGAAAAAATAGAATAATAAATCCACACCTTCAATTTGCAATACTGAAGGATTCGGTGGGCAAAATTTTGAGTGATTCAAGAAGCATCAAAATAAGATGGAAGGAATATACATAGTCACTCTACCAGAAAGAACTGGTTGATACTGAACCTTTCATTTCAGGAAGAAAAATATAATCAACAACCAACAGTACAGAAGAAAGAAGTCCATGTTACACTGAAGGCATGGGGGGGGGGAAAACACTGGTCCAGGAATTGAGAGAACACCAATTGATGTGTTTCAGAAAACAGATGCAAACCTGAAAGTGCTCCTCAGTCTCTGCCAACAATATAGAAGGTGGTTACTTGGCCAAGATGGGCAAAAGTTCCCCATCTGTTCCCATTCAAAACCAAGTGATCCAACTAATGTGCAAATTATTAAACAGTATTATTAATATCACATGCATCTAAGCTCTTGCTGAAAATTATTTAAAAATGGCTGAATCAATATATCAACAGGAAACTTCCAGAAATGAAAGCTGGATTCAGAAGAGATTGTGACACAGGGGATATCACTGCTGATGTCTGATGCAGCTACATCTCAACATCAAGAAAAAAACCCAATTCCTCAGCAGTGCACCAATTGGCATCATCATGATAGACGGAGAACAGACTGAAGTTGTCAAAGATTTCATGTTGTTTGAATCCACAATGAACAACGACGGTTAACAGCAGTCAACAAATCAAAAGACCTGTTGCATTGGTGAAATGTGCCGTCAAGGATCTCTCCCAAGTGCTAACGTGCAAGGATGTCAGTTTGAAAATGAAGGTGTGACTAGGCCAAGCCATGATATTTTTAATGATTCTTACGCATCTGCAAATTAGACAATGAATAAAGACGACAGGAGAAGGTTGTGTTTGAATTGAGGTGGGGGTGGGGGCAGAGAGCACTGAATACCACACAGACCCCCAAAAGAACAAACAAATCTTTCTTGAAGAAATGTAACCAGAGTGCACCTTGGAGGCAAGAATGTTGAAACTTCATCTCACTTACTTTGTTCAAATTTTAGGAGGAAACAGTCCCTAGAGAGACATATCATGCTGAGAAAAATAAAGGGTCAGTGAAAGAGAGGAAGACCCTCAACAAGCAGGACTGACACAGTGACAACAATGGACCTGAGCATGACAGACCCAGTGCAGATGGCACAGCACAGGGCAAGGCTCAGATCCGGTGCTCAGCGTGTCGCTAGGAGCCATATTTGACTTGACAGCACCTAACACCAAGAAGTAAGAGTGCTGCCACAAATCCTTGTCTTTAATCAAAGTATATGACTGTGTGTTGAAATTACGTACATCTCCTTGAGGAATACGGTAGGTCTTCTTGAAACATCAGCTTTACTTGCTGGTAAATAATTTACAAAATAATGTTCATCTCAGTTAAGACACAAAAGATAACAAGGAGAGCAAAATGTTCAAGATGAAACACTGGACATCAGAGATATTAAGGGTCATTTTTTTAAACAGTCACTATGAGTTATACCCTCAAGCACCACATTTTCCTTCTAAGCTAATAAATACTTCTTTAGTGGTTAATATTCAGCTAGATGAGCAGAAGTCACAGACAGAGCTGAAGGATCTATACGAAAATGGTAAATGGTTACTGTGACGAGGAAGATATTACAGCTAGTGGCAGGTATGAACATTAAGACTTATCTTATGTTTACATACAAATATGAATACATCCATCACTCCAACACAAAATAAAAGATGTGCAGATGTTCAAAGAAGACTGGGCATACCTTGATGAAGCAGCTGGACCCGGTACAGAGGAGGCAGGGAAGTCAAAAGGCATGTGTGTAAGCGCATCGCTAACAAGTACCTCAAACCACACTCGTCCAGTGTGTCTCTTCCTGTGATTTAAACAGAAAATGTTCGGGGGGTGGGGGTGGGGGGAGGAATGCAACAGATCATTAACCTATAAAAGTTAGAAAAAAACCCACTTAGTAATAATTATCTCAGAATATAGAGTAATTTCTAGAGTATTTCTTTGCAAAATGTGAATTATAAGAACGCCTCAAAGAAAAATTACAAGTGAAAATTGAATTCACTACTTTTACAGATAATAGAATTTCTATTTACTCAAAAATCAATGAAAATAAATCCTGACATTCAATTAAGAGCATATTGACTATGGTGAGTTAGACACAATTTTCAAGATACTACCTACATGGACTCAGGTTAAAAGATTTAAAGGCAGAAATTACATAACTGAATTGAAGCATTTATTATCTAATTACATAGGTGACAGTGTTTTAGTTTAGCTAGCTAAACTGAAAAGAAAGGACTACCAAAGATTTGAGATTTTCCTTTTCCAGACTAATCAGCTTTACAAGGTTAAGGATGTAAATTTACATAACTTTGGACAAATCTGTAGTAAAAAAATTGAACAAACATATGAAAATATGGCTAATTGAATCAAACTGTAACTACTGCTGGATGAAAGCTATTTACAGCATCTAGATCAGCAACTGTAAAGTAGGAAAACTCAAAAAGTATATATAAAAATATTATTTTCTAAAGGAAATGAAATCTTTTACCCTTCCAAATTTCAGGTCCTAGCTCTGCTCCTCATTTGCTGCTATTTGTTGGTTCATTCATTCATTCAACAAACTAATCATCAGCTACATGAAAGACAAGCTTTAGAGTAATGAATAAATAATAAGTCCCTAGTCGCATGGTCCTTACATTTTAGGGGGTTGATGTGTATTGCTGAGTCAGAACCAACTCGTAGCTGACCCTCCAACAGGTTTTCAGAGGCAGTAAGTTGCATGGGAAGAGATTATTTACTATGTCTAGTGGAAACTATTTTTTGCCGGACAGAGGTAACTTGTGGTTGCTGTGAAGCTGAACACTGTGACACTGGTGTGTCAAATGTGATAACAGTTACCCATGGTAGACAGAGTTTGGTGGCACTCCCGGAATAAAACAAGCTTGGGAGCAGGAGTGGTATCCAATTCTGTAATAGCTTGCCTCCAGAAACCCTATGAATCTGGAGAAAGGATGAAAATCATGCAAGTGTTGAGGATTTTCGTTCATAGTGTCGCTATGAGTCGCCTACAACTCGATGGCACTTAACAACAACAACAACAAACAGTGGAAACTAATACTAGGAAGTATACCAGGACTGGGAGATAGGCCCTGCTAAAGACAAAGTTCTCTTACATAGAGTACCAAGGGTACATAGAGTACTGTACTCCAATACAGTAACATTTCAGCAGAAACCTGAGGAGGTACTAGAATGAGGTTTGCATAAATCTGGAAGGAAAGCATTCCACACAGAGAACAGTGAGCATGTTTAATTTTGTTTGTAGGACAGCAAGTTAACATGGACAGTAAATGAGAGCATAAACAGTCTTGTAAGGCTCTGGATTTTATTCTACACTGAGGTTGAAAATCACTGATGTATGCTGAACAGATGATAGGCCTAGTGTTGTAGTTTTGCTTTAAAAGACTCACTGACTGCTCTATACAACAAACAGGCTGCAGCAACAAAAATAGAAGCAGCTGGAGATTATGACAATACATTAGCAGGAAGTGACAGGAGACTATGACAATAAATTAGCAGCTGACAGTGATTTGGGCCATACTAGTTAACAATAGCAGAGATTAAAAATTAATAGATTTTGGAGAGAAGTGCAGCAATGAATGAATGGAAATCCAAAATCTCTGTAAATGTTCATTAAAATTATTTAATAAAAAATTATTAGATTTGGGGTACTATAGAATTGATAGCAGCTGTCAATGTGTTAGATGTGCACATGGTGTGCAAGAAAGCAGAGTCAAGAATACTCCAAGTTGTCTCATCTGAAAGACAGGGAGACTTCATTCACTTAAGTGTATTTCATTTAACCTTGAACTTCAACTTCCCACTTATAAAATGGAAGCATTCAATCCTGCTATATCTCTGTGACCAGAAAAGGTTTCTTCCATATTGCCTCACCAAATACATAATTTTGTATCACCATATTAAACCTATTTTTCATCAATTTTGGCATGTTTACTTTTCTAGTGTCCCAGAATAAAGATTACCTATTAAGTATACAAGAAAGGTTTAAGGCTATTTTGGGATGCGTCTTGCTAATGTACATAACTTTATAATGATCAGATATTTTCAGAACATAAACATGCTTAGAAATACATTATAGAAAAAAATCTTCTAGTATATCTAGTTATTTCCATTTGAAAAAGAAAATGCTTTGGGGATATAGACCCATAAGAAGATGGTTTTGAAAAATAGTCACTTCCCCCTAATTTGTAAAGCTTGTGAAATTGTTAAAAGAGTATAGACTTGGAAACAAGGATATATCCACATAGGAATCCCAGTTCTATCACATGATACTCATGTGTTCTAAAGCTCAGTGTCTTTATCTATAAAATGATATATAACAACAGTTACCTACTAGAAGATTGTTTTTATAATTAAACATGATAAAGTATATTAAATGCCTGGTGCATAGCAATTGTTCCCTCCTCCACAATGTTTGCTGAATGAATGAATGATCAATAATTTATGGCTTCCTTTGCTAATGTTATCCTTTATAATCAGCACCATTAACTTCCACAATCTGTATAAAAGAGAATGGAACCTAGTTACAAATGGAAGCCAAAGATTTTCTGATTATAGAATAAATTAGGCAAGACATATAATTATATGTAGAATGTATGAAAACCTCTCTGTAAGAGATATTTAAGAGAAAGTTAGATATTCCAAAGCAGGAAGATGATCAAGTTGAGCCTATGAGATCCCTAAGAGTATCATGTCTCTATACTAATAAGACAGGCCATCAGGATCACTAGTAAAAGGGACACACACACAAAAATCATAAGAATGAGTCTCTTTGGGAAACAAGGGACTATTGAAAGTAATACAAAGGTTTCAGTATAAGAACTCATGAGAATTCACATAAACCTAATAGTTGTCTAGTAAGGAGATCTTTTATGTCTCTCCAGATTTGAAAGCAAGACTGCAGCTAAACATTTGAGTCATTATGTAGCTACTACAAATATTTCTTTTAAAATTATAGTCTTAAAAATCTTTAAAATTACTATTTACCTGAGTAACTCTTATCCCTGTTTTCATCAATCTCAGTACTGGTGGTAGCCACGGTATCAGCCAAAGCGACAAGGAACATCTGTTCTAAACGGGTAAGGCCTGGCAGACTTGAGTGCATAAGATGACTTGAAAGTACCCTTGCATGTTCTTGGCCAAAATAAGCTGGTCCGTACTGTGAAAGATTTATGACTTTTGATTTGTTTTCTCTCTTTTCTGGCTCTAAATCAATATCATCTGTCGTTATATCCTGGATTTGGAACAGTTCTGAATACTGATCCTCTGACTGGCTTTTGGCATGATCTTCGTAGCTCTGTGGTATTTTTGTACTTTCTTCTGAAATCCTGTAGGTTGTGTCCTGATCTGCAGCAAGCAATGCATGCAGTGGTAATGGAGGAATAGAATCTATCTCGGTGTAGTCTCGAGTACCATCTTTTCCTATGGTGACTGTATCCTTTGCTGTGCTGCCACTTACACTGATGGTCCGAGAAAGATGTCGCTTAGTTCCTTCTCCAGCATCAGCATCTCTAACTATGGCAACTTCGCCTGCAATACACTTGACTAAATGAGAGAGAATGGCTTTAGCCCTGCGGACTTTGCCTAAATCCATCAGTTCCAACAGCTGTGTTGGATGGTACTGTGGGAGCGTAGGGGAGAGCACGTGTGCAGCCTCAAACAAGCCACCGTCCTGAACTACAGTTGGCGAACAAAACACATCATCAGCCAGAGCTGTTCCTTCAACAACACTTTTTCTTGCCAACATGTTAGATTTGAAGGCAGAATGATCTTGCATGGCAGTCTCTTCTCTAACAGGACTATCCGTTTCAACGTCTCCAAATTTCGCAGCATGCTTCCATTGTGCGTATACGTGCATTTCACAGTCCATTCCCACCACCAATATCCCATCTCGTACCCAAGACAGAGAAACAGGCAGTGAAGGAGTCCCATCAACAGAAGACACCAAGTCTATTGATCTAAGAAGAACCCATCTTGACCTAACTCCTTGCTTGATACTGCCACCTAGTGGTAAAGTAATGACCGCTACTCCATCCTTACTGTTGGTTTGCTCAGTCACAATTCCGGAAAGTCGCCCATACATGAATATATTAGCACCAACTCCCACTGTGAGAATATGGGAGCCGTCTTCTTTTGACACCCAATCCAAATGCACTAAATGCTTTATATTTGGGATAAGGTATCTATCCTTGCTCAAAAATGCATCTGATTTGCTGTATACAAACAGATTGCTGTCCACACTGACTCTTGAATCCAGTACACTCCCAACCTTAACCAAATCATCAAGGTGAATTGTTTGTTCTAAAACCCATTCTGACCCTCCTGTAGATTCGCATTCAAATATACAAACATGCATGGAAAATTCTTTAGAAATAAAACCATTCTGGTGGACGGGCTGCTTATAAGCCACTGCCAGGCGGCCTGTGTAGGAACAGCTAACAGCAACGGGTCTCCCCACAATGCTCACTGTACTGCTATTATCTTCTCCTTCATCATTCATCAAGGGCCACCTCCTCCAATGATAGGTTTCTTTCTCGGCACTTTGACTATGAGAGTCTGTTTCCATGCAACACTTCCAGAAGCGCACTTTATTGTCAGAACATGTTGTAACCACCAAATAAGGTGCAAGACACACTGGATAAATTGAAGAAGAACTCAGATGGCCTTTAAAAAAAAAAAGCAGGCAGTCATAATGATGAAACAACAAAATAATATACTAATATGCAAATTTCAGGATGTGATTAAGTCAAGGCCATCATGAGATTCCTCAGGAAAACTCTGCTATGTCCTCCTATCAAGTATCCAAATATGTGACTGTGGTTCCTATCTTCCTATCTCTGGATTTTCTCTCACATTCACACACACACACACACACACACACACACACACACACACACACAGAGCTGTGGATATCTCTCATCTTTATGTGCATATTTAAAAAGTTTAATTAGTCACAACTGACTGTGTTTATTATTTTCAATATTACTATTATAATATTCCTATTTACAAAAAAAATCAAAGTTTAGGCAAAAAATCCCACATTAAAATATTTATCCCATTTCCGTCAAGCTAATTACCTTTCTCAGAAGAAATTATTTCTAGCATATACAGTGTTCCTAGATTGATTTAGTAGGAAAACAATCTTTATTTCAGTCAGGGCCAACATAGCACATAGTTTGGAAGAGCTCATCCGTTTTACCTCTAACGATCACCCTCAACTCTGACCGCCCACTCCAAGTTACTTTACCTGCTGAAGGTGTTGCTCTTATTACTTCAACTCCTTCTGGGAGATCAAGAGGTTGGCTATATACCAATCTAGAACTCAGAATAAGTTTACTAGCTGTTTGAAGATTGGCAATTGACGAAGAATGTGACATGTGGCTCACAGACGGAGCTGTTTCTGGAGAGGAGTCTACAGTCTTCTTCTGTCCTGGGACTGAAAGCAAATTCTCTGATGAAAATCCTTCTGCAGCTTTGGCTTTGAAGAGAAATTGTGAAAAGTACGATTATAATCACTGTAGACAACAGGTAGAACTGTATACATTTTCTTAAAAGTGTTTTGGGGATAAAGTAAACTTTCAGATGTTTGCTAATTATATACTGTTGTGCTTAAAAACAACAACAACAACAACAACAAACAAACAAACCACTTTTAACTTTACTTTTTCTTAGCATTGGCAAATCCATCATTGGCAAATGTTTTTGGAGAAAATCCACATGTAAGAGCCAAGAAGAAAAAAAAATCCTAAGTTAACTAATCTACCTTAAAATGCATGAGAAGGTGGTTAACAGATCCCTGGGCCTAACCTGGGTTGATTGGGGGTAGATTCCAGGTATCAATATTTTTAATCCCGGTGAGTCTGTAACGTAAGAGTCACGAAACAATGATGTACCGTCTTATTTAACAGATGGAAAAAATTTAAACTTGGAAGGCTTAATTACTTTCCAAAGGTGATATAATTCGATTATTCATAAAGAAGACGCTAGGATAGTAAGCTCTTAGGCAAGTTAATGATTTTAAGAAAAACTTTAAAAAAAATAAAAGTTCCAAACAAATTTAAGATAGAAGTGGCATCCACTTCCTAAGCAACATGCCTCTGGAAACTCTATGAACTTTGATAAATGTCGATAGTTGTAGAGGGGCTTCAGGCCTTTTGTTCATAGGGTCACTGTGAGTCATGCTCAACTCAAAGGCAATCAACAACAACATTTATTGACTAGCTTTGTAAGATATACTTATTTTTGTATTCTTCCAAAGAGCCTCAGCTTTCTTATTAAAGTGAAGTATAATCTCTAATCATATTCAGTAATCAATGCTTCTGTTATACCTAAAAGAAAACTGCATTTGTTTACTGAATCTGGTTAGAGATTGTTGTTGTATTGTTATGTGCCATTAAATTGGAACTGACTCACTGGTGACCCTGCAGCAGGTTCTAAGATGCTCTCATGGAAAAAGATAGCTCTTGAGTCTCCTGGGAAGCAATTGGTGGATTCGAACTATCAGTTTTGGATTAATAGTGCGACTACTTACCAATAGGCCACTAGATCTCCCTATGTATATACATATATAATCTCTAACCATATAAATATATAATCTCAGTAATCTATGCTTCTGTTACATGAGACAAATAGTACCATATTGATTTCCATTGAACTATGAGTTCGTCAAAGGCAAAGATGACGGACTACTTTGTACATCTCCCTCTACCCCTGCATTGCCATGAAGCAGCACATAACTCTACAAATCACTTCACAGATTTTCAAAGAATTTTTGGATTCCTGCTAACTCAAAAAGACCAGACTCCATCAGGCACAAAGTTCCTATTAAATCACATGTCCTATCTAATGCCTGTTCATAGCCCTGTCAGAACTTTTGTTACTTAAGTGATGATGTGGGTAGAACGTAGAAGAAACAGGAACATTTCTTCCCATTTGTTTACAGTATTAAATGTTTTAAAACATAAAGCCAAACTTACTGTGATCAAGTCAGAACCAACTTGTACTCATAGCTGATTCTACAGTTAATTTTTACAGGCTAAGTCACATGGAAGAGACTGCCCATCTTTCTCCTGCAGATTAGATGATGGATCCAAGCTACCAGAAAGGCATCACTTTGGGGTTTGCTGCTCAACTCCCTACTGACTACACCACTAGAGTTCTTTGGTGTATCACATGCTTCTTGTTATTGCTGTGTACCATCCGGTCAAAACCAACTAAGAGCTGAGCCTCCAGGAAGCTTTCAGAGGCAGTAAATCACACAAGCAGAGACTATCCATCTTTCTATGGAGCAGCTGGCAGAGTCGAACTATGTTCCTTGGGGTGGCAGTGCAACACTCCTTACCATTAAGCCACCTGAGCTCTCTAGGACATGCTTAATGGGTATGAAATCTGCTCAACAGTTTAGTTAACAGAATGATAGATTTTAAATTAGACTCAGAAATGGCTAACTGTACAATTCCTCATCTTAATAATTATCTCTTAAAAAGTAAAATTTAATTTGAAAACATTTCCATTCGTTTCTTTACTTTGTGCTATAAACGGACCATTTTCCTAAAGATTAACCTGCACGTACACAGCACAAGCAAGCACAGCTAAAATAATTATCTGTCATATTTCTTAATGTTTTACTGAAACACTTGACTACATGCTTCATATGCTCAATCATATTTTACTGAACAGCAGACCTGCTTCTCTTGGTGATACCAAGGCCAAGACACACCATGATCAGTCTGTTCATTAGTCAACTATTAATTCTACGGACAAGCCTGATTTAGAGACTGATTTAGAAGATGAATAAGCATTCAATAAATATGAATTGAAAGAAGTAAAACTTTTTTCCCAAACATGTGATGTGCTCAGAGACTGGTTTGGGTCCAGGATTAGCTTGTTTAATTAACGATGGATGATCTTGTGTTAAAAAGCACAGCATCTACATAATGTATGGATCTTCATTTTAAAAGTGAAAGTTTATTCCATAAAACAAATTTACTTCACATTGTTTATGTATAAATTGGAATATAATTACTTACCTAAACATGCTTGTACAGATTTAAGATGAAGGTGCCACATATGGAGAATAGAGTAATTATTGCTGTCCTTTTCAATTACTACTAGGAAGAACTTTTCTGAAAATGGTGGTGGGCGATACCCTGTAATTCAGAAAAAAAGAATCATTAATATGCTTCTAGAGGGGTAAGAATGCTCTTTAAACTTAAAAATACCTTTGGATATGTACAGAAGAAGAGACCAAATCCCTTTCAGGAACACTTTCATACAATGTATGCAGCAAACATTAGGTAACAAGACTAGTAGGACTATGACAAAATTTAAAAATATGTATTGGTCAAAGAGAGAGCTCTGGTGGCCCTAGTGGCAAGAAGTTGCACTGCAATGTCTAAGGTATGTGGTTCAAGTACACCAGCTGCTCCATGGGGGAAGGATGGGCACACTCCTCCTGAGTGATTAAATCCCTCTGAAAACCCACTGAAGGGTCAGCTATGGGTTGGTCCCAACTTCACAGTACATAATAACAACAACATTGGTCAAAGATGGACAATTCATCAACAAATAAATCCATGTTATTAAAACACACTGACTATACAAAAACAAGCAAAATACAGATGGCACACAAAAATGAAAGAACAGAAGAAAGCAATGGAAGAAGGGGGGAGAGACTGTGTTTTGTGTCAGAGAGAAAATAAAAAAGGATATTTCATTAGACATGCCTGGAAGGAATTGGGGCACTCAACTGTTATCTGGTAAACTGGCTACAAATAGCAAGAAAGAAAGAAACATCTTTCCTGCTTTCTTTGTATGAAAAGAACATTAAAAAATAAAGAAATAAAAGCTGTTGGGAACGTACAGCAGTATTACAGAAGAGAATTTTTAGAAACGTCCTCCATTTTTATAAGAAAAGACAATACTTTTGGGCAGAATTTTCACTGTTGACAATTAGATTTTTCACACAAGAGAATGACATCTATAAAAGACAATAAAATCTTTCCTCACAAATAAAAGTCCCTAATGACAATTCATTAGCAATCAACATTTCAAAGTGCAAACTATGGTCTCTAAATACCAATCTAGAAGAGCTAAAAAGAACAGCTTGAAGGAATGGTTCTGTCCTTGTAAAGGAACATAAATCTGAAATATTTTGTTATGACTAAAAAGCAAGAAGACTATCAAGAGAAAAGTGAGTTTGTGTCAGAAGGATTCAGGATGATTACTGGCCTAATAAAAACACACTGAGTGGTTAAAAAAAAGATTAACTGAAATAATTTGAAATATATTAAAGGAAAAAATAAACAGCTCTAAAGCTGTCAAATCAATTTCAATTCATTCCATTTTCCAGGGCTACAAATCTTAATGGGAACACACTGTCTCATATTCCCCTTGCAAGGTAACTGGGAGATCCAAACCATCAACCTTTCAGTTCATAGTCTAACATTTAACCTACTGTGCCACCACAGCCCCTTTGAAATATACTTACAAAACCCTCACTGCCATCAAGTTGATTCCACCTCGTAGAAACCTTCCCACCCGGTTTTCTAGGCAGTAAACTGTAGCAGGAAGAGACTGCTCGCATTCCTCCTGCACAGCCTCTGGAGAGTTAGAATCTCTACCAATGTGCAGTCTTTACTTTTTCATGTATCCTTTTTATTTTATTTTATTTTATTATTTTAATGAAAGTTTATGGATACTCTGGATTTCCATTCACTCATTGTTGCACACTTTCCTCCCTGCCCATCTCTCCCCAGCCCACCCCTGTTCACTTTTCTCTTTGAAAAGTAAAAAAAAAATTCCTTCATTGGTATACAATCCCCCCAATCGAGCGCACTCTTCCACTCAACCTTCATTCTGGACTCTTGTAATAACAATATTACCTAATCATATATTCCTCCTAAACAGTTCTCTCCCTCATCTGTTTCAATGCAGTATACATTTTTTATCCCGTCTTAGTTTTCCCCCAACCCTGATGTCAGACCCGCTCGCTTTACAATAGTGGCACTATGCAGTATTTGTCCTTTTATGACTGAGATATTTCACTCAGCATAATGTCCTCTAGGGTCACCCATTTTGTATAATATTTCATGAGTTCCTTGTTTTTCAGTGCGGCGTAGTATTCCATTGTGTGAATATACCAAAGCTTCTCTAGCCATTCGTTTGTTGATGGGCATTTGAGTTGTTTCCAGCTCTTTGCTATTGTGAACAAAGCCACAATAAACATGAGTGTGCATATATATGCTTGGGTGGTGATTATGGTTTCCTTAGGGTATATGCCCAGTAGTCTTTTGGTAGCAACACAAGCACTGCAGACTAGGGAATCAGAGTTCCTTGCTGAAAAATACACACACACACATACATATATACGTGTGTGTGTGTGTGTGTGTGTGTGTGTGTGTAAAAAAGACATTACAATCCATGAGTTATATCAACAGCTACACATACTTCTCTGGACATATATTATTCTTTAATAAAGTACTGAGTTTGATTTTATCTTAAATTCATTCATAAAGACACCCAAAAGAAAAAAGCAAGCAATAAATTCATCAGGAATCACTAGAAATAACCAGGGCACAAATGCTTTACTATGAAACTGGCAACTAAAGGGAAAAAAAGAATTAAGCACCTACCTTGTTTTTCCTAAAGTAACTATTATCAAAGAAACTAGATAAAGTTAGTTGATAAAGAAAAGCCTTTCTTTACCAATGCTTCTATCTAATAAGTAAATGACAACTGATATAATGTTTTTATTTTTGCGACTCCTTAAAAAAAAAGGCACCATGCTGGAAAAGGTGGAGGGCCTAATAGAGAAGCTGACTCTCAACTAGACACCTGACAGTAACTGTCGACAATGGGCTTGGGCACGTCTTAGAAGGTGAAGATGGCACAGAAGAGGGCAAGGGTCTGTTGTTCACAGGGTCACTACGAGTCACAGCCGACTTGATGGTACCTAACAACATCTGTCAACCCAAAAGAACATGATTCAAATCCACGAGTTACAGGACCAGGATGGGCAATCTCTTCCCATGTGCCTCTGAAAACCTGCTGCAGGGTTCAGCTATAAAGTGGACCTCACTTGATGGTATCAAGCGACAAAAAATGAAGCAATTTCTTTAAAAGCAACAATATTCAATGTAAGAAACCATAAAAAAATGGACTGACAGCGAAGTGATCAGGAAGCCACCACCTAAATTTTCTGAATCGCCACAGCAACAAACTTGAGGCATTTTAACATTGTCTTCTTGAGGGTCTGCTACATGTTAAGGGAACAGCATCCCTGGGAAGCTGATCCTGAATGTCAAAGGCTGGCTTCCACTCTTTACAGAAACAGCCTGTCAGTAGGTGCTGCTGCATCCACTCTGGACTCACTGTGACTCTTCCCACAGGAAATACAGTGAACAAGAAAAATTTTACTTGACATCAAAGTGAATCTTGGAGAAATTCCCATAAAATAACGTGCTCTAAGACAAGTCAGTAGCATGGCAGGGACATGCAGGCAACTATTCTGGATTAAAAAACTAAAAGTTTACAAATCACATTCGGCTTTTCCCAATCATTCACAGGATCAACATTATGTGTGTTATAATTAACAATCACTACAGATCAAGTTGGGAGAATAAAAGAAAAGAGAAGAAGAGAGGGGGGAAAAAAAATACCTGCCTCTTCACAGGCGCTACCTGACTGGTGCAAATTATTAGATACTCAACTAATAACGTAAAGATTAGTGGTCCAAGCTCTCCCAGAGGCGTTCTGAAAGACAGGTGTGGTGAAGTGCATCCAAAAAGCCACAGCCTTAAAACCCTAAGGACTGTAATTCAACTCTGCACATGTGAGTTATCATGAGTCAGAATCAACACGGCAGCAATTAGTTCAAACAGGAAATTAAATACACCGTATGCACCTGGTTCAGACACAAAGTCAAACACATTCAAAACGGAAAAGGTCTGACATCTTTCAAATAACTGAACAGAATATAGACCAATTATTGTAATTTTGAGGAATTTTGACTATTTATCAGTACTATGAAAAAAATCTGTAAAAAAATGTTATTTATAGAAATACACGTGGAAGTATACAGGAGTGAAAAAAAGCATAACAGCTCTTGTTGTTATTGTTATGTGCCTGATAATAGCTCTACTTGATTTAAAACACTTCTGGGTGGAAAACGGGAAAAAAACAGGGAGAACAAAACAAGTGTGACAGAATCTTAAATACAGAAAATACAGAAAGACAAAATCCTTCTACTTAGATTTGATTGTATGGAGACTTCTTTAATTATTCAATCTACTATAGTCTGTATTTGACTTTTTCTTACATAAAAAAATAATTTGTAGTTAAGAGAAAAAGGACAAAATAAACTAGGAGCTGGGGAGAGAAGACATACATATAACAAGTTCTTTGAGTTAGGGTGAAATATTATCAGAGAGAAACTGTATACAAAAACTGAATGAAAACCAAGAAAGGGATTAGTAAAACGTTTTAATTTGATTTGTCAATGACATTAACAAATGACAAAAAAGAAAATGTGTTTAAATGAAAATCTGTACAAATTATTTAAAAAAAAAAACAGAAAAAATTATATAAAAGTACTGTCTTCTCTCACTCAACATCAAGTGAGGACTCATAGCTGATCCTCCAGCACACTTTCTGAAGCTGTGAAATTGCACAAAACTGCCCATCTTTCTCCCACAGAGCCACGCTTTGGACCAACAGGGAGCCACCACCTTTGGGGTCAACAGTGCAAGCCCCTCCGATTACACCACCAGAGCTCTCTTCTGTTTCCAAGTTACTTGAAATAATCCTGTAGTTATTTTCAAGTTATTTAAGTAAACTTGAAATACACGAGTCATGTATTTTCTGTTAGAAATGGTATGATAAATAGTAATCAGGTTTGTTAGAAAACATAGAAAGTTTAATCCCTCTAAAAATGGAATGCTATGGATAAGCAAACTTTAAATTTTCTAAAGAAGCACCATTATCCTATAGTAATAGTGAAATAAAACTTAACATTACAACTAAGTCACAAAGAAGTATGATATATAAAGATACATAAAATTGAAAAAATTATTAGCCTAAGGAGTGAAAAGATATTTGAACTAAGTCTCCTAAGAAATGAGAAAACATGAAATTCCACTAATGCAAACGGAATTGTCTGCACTAATTCAGACAACAGAGTTTTATCACCTATCTACTAATCATTTGGGGATAAAATTATATCAAACAGTCATACTCTAAAAACCATTGAGAGAAAGTTTCTAGAAACCCTTGTATATTAAAAAGTCCTCACCATAGAAAATAATTTCTTAAGACAGGGCATATTCTTTTCATTCAAACAAAATACAGTACTAAAATTATCAAGTGATATTTTCAAAGGAACATTTTAAACTAAATTTTAAAGTTTTAAATAAGTATTATAAGACTTGCTTTTGAAAGGTCTTACGGAGAAACTACTCTCTTCCAGAAAAGGGAAAACTAAACACAGCGTTTCAGAAAGAGAGACTATGTGTTTGCTTTGGAAGCACATAGGTTGACACGGAAATTCGTGAAGCGTTCCATAGTTTTCTATATGCATATGATAGTATACACAGTAAACCCTAAAAACTCAACCAAAAAACTGTTAGAGTTAATAGACCAATATAGTAGACTGGCAGGATATAAGATCAATATGCAAAAATCAATAGGATTCCTCTACAGTAACAAAGAGAACTCAGAGAAGGAAATCAAGAAAGCAATACCATTTACAATAGCCAACCACAAATTGAGATATTTGGGAGTGAACCTAACTAGAAATAGAAAAACCTGTACAAAGAAAACTATAGAGCATTTCTGGAAGACACAATAAAAGACCTAAAGAAATGGGAAAATGTGCCCTGTTCATGGACAGGAGACTCAGTATTGTGAAAAAGACAATCTTACAAAAGCAATCTACATGTTCAATGCAATTCCAACCCAGATACCAAATTCCTTTTTCAAGGAGATTGAAAGGGAAATTATCAAATTTATTTGGAGAGCAAGAGATCCTGAATAAGCAAAACACTTCTGAGAAACAAAACTGAGGTTGGAGGCACAGCACTCCCTGACCTCAAAACCTACTACACTGCAGTGGTAACCAAAACAGCACGGCACTGGTACAATGACAGACACACAGACCAATGGAACAGAACTAGAACCCAGAAATAGACCCAGCTATCTATGCTCAACTGATATTAGACAAGGAAATCAAAGCTATCAAATGGGGAAATGATAACCTCTTCAACAAATGGTGCAAGTAAAACTGGACTTCCACCTGCAGAAAGCTGAACAGGATCCACACCTCACACCATATACAAAAAGCAACTCAAGGTGCATCAGAAACCTGGGAATAAAGCCCACAACCATAATGTTCATAAAAGACAAACTGGGATCAAGCTTAGAAGCTCTAGTCCAAGGTATAAAGAGACTGCCAAATACAACCAGAAATGCACAATCTGAAGAGAATAAAATTGAAGCATGGGACTTTCTAAGATTCAAATACATGTGTGCATCAAAAATTTTTTCTAATGTTCAACCACGAACAAATGGATTGAGAAATTATGATCCATTCACATAATGGAATACTATGCAGCACACAGGAGCAATAACTTTGTAAATTATTGCCTAACTTGGGAGGGCCTGGAGAATATTATGATGAGTGAACTAACTCAGTCTCACAAGGATAAATATTGTATAAAACAGTTATTACAGAATGAGTATAAGGATCCAGGAGGGGTGGGAGAGGCTGGAAGAAGAGGGATGTGTGGACGTGCAGGGGAAGGGTGAGAATTAATCACTGGGTTTTGGGGGGATGAGGGAAATTGAAAGAATTTGTTCAAATCTGTATTCGAGTTTTGTAAATAAACTAGTAGGGGAGGGGAAAAAACCCCAAACAAACTTTCCCCAACAGGGTGAAAAGAAAGCCTACAGTCTGGGAACAAACATTTGGTAATACCATCTGAGACAAGAGTCTTATAACAAAAGCTTACAGAATATTCCTGGGCCTCCACAAAAAGAAAGAAAAAAATGACTGATAATTCAATTATAAAATGGGCAAAAGACACGGAAAGTATTTTCACAGAGGAAGATAATCGAATGGCAAACAGACACATGAAGAAATGCTCCAAATCACTGGCAATAAGAGAGACGAAAATCAAAACCACAATGAGGTACCATCTCACTCCAGTAACAGTGGCAAAGTTTAACAGGCAGCAAGTAATAAATGTTAGAGAAAATGTGGTGAGATAGGAACTCTTATACATTGTTGGTGGCCTATACATTGTTGGTGGGATTGTAAAAATGGTACAACCATTCCGGAAAGCAGTTTGGCACTTCCTCAAAAAGCTGAACACAGACATTCCATATGACCCAGCTATTCCACTGCTTGGAATAGACCTTGAGAATATGAGAACTGAGGCACAAACTGAGATTTGTACACCAATGTTCATAGCAGCATTATTTAACATGTTCATAAGAACATGTTAACAGCCCAAATGTCCAACCACAAACAAATGGATTGAGAAATTATGGTACATTCACATAAGGGAATACTATGCAGCATGCAGGAACAATGATTTTGTAAATTACCTAACTGGAGGGACAGGAGAGCATTATGCTGAGTGAACTCACTCCCACAAGGACAAATACTGCATAAAACCATTATTGTAGAATGTGTATAAGGATCCAAGAGAGGTGGGAAAGTTTGGAAGCAGAGTGATGAGGATGTGCAAGGGAAGGGGTATTAATCATGGGCTTGTACAATTTGATGGGGGGGGGCGGTGACGGAAATGGAAAGAATTTGTTCTTGAAAACAATGTATTCAAAGTTTGTAAATAAACTTGTAGAAAATTTAAAAAAAGTGAGACTGTGAGGCAGTTCCTTTAATTCATAGTGCACAAAAGACTTCTGGTGTACTACATAATATTTTACATTATATTCATCAGTGGTCTGCAGCAATTTATTGGGATGTTATAAGAAAATCCACTGGTTTCTTAGAGATACCACAGTGAACTTACTACCATTCAAAATAATCAGTGTATTAAGGGTTGAGTAATTAAAAATTTATATCTAAAAAGTGGTTTTTATAACACCATTTCTTGGCAAAGGTATATACTACTAGAAAACTGCCTTCCAAAATGTAATTTTTTACCCAAATATCTTCTTCATCTACAAATCGGAGACTCTGACAAAACTCACAATATTGCCAAAAATTATGAAGGCAATGACTTAGAGTATGAAAAGTTTATTTGTTTTGAAAGTTTGGAGAAATGGGTTGAGTTGCTCCCCCCTCCCCCAGGGCTAACAAACTATTTCTTCAAAGTACCTTGTGATGGCTGGAAAAAGATTTCTGTTTCCTTTTTCTCCACATCTTCTTTATGTGGTTTATATCCTATAATAAAGTCTTCTTGAAATACATGTAGCAACTGTGTATTTGAGCCACACTAAAAAGATACAAAAATTAGTTTTTACTTTTGAAGTTCTGTATTTCCTATTAGTCACTTCCCCAAGGGGGAAAAAACATTTCCTCTAGAAATTTCTATTCTTTATCAATTAACTAATTAGAAAAGGAAAATAGAAGCAGGAAAAAGTACTACCTTTTTCCTAGGCAAAGAATAATTAACTTTCACAGATGTCACTGGCAATAGCAGAACTGAGAAGACCCAGTGAAAGCAAACTAGCCAGTTTACTTCCCCAATAAAAGCTTAAAACATAATTTTTTTTAAAAAATCCAAACCTAAAACATAAGACCTACACCACTTTGAGCCCAAAAAAGCATCAGGTATCACTACTCAAAAAAAGCTATGAACAGTTTTTGTTCAACAGACTTAGAGCTGACACTCCACTGAGTTTCCAAAGGTTGTATATTGCACAGGAGATTACCTATCCTGTCAGAGCAGTGGTGGATTCGAACTACCTGCCTTTGGGTTGGCAGAACAACTCCCTATTCACTAGGCAACCAGAGCTCTTAAGCTACAGACAACTAGAGAATAAGTCCTCAATAATCAGTAGATTTTCATTATATGAAAACAATGAAGTTGGCTATATTTAATGTCAAACATGAGAATTATTCTAAGAACAAAATACACACACGTATATAAAATACTCTGAGATAAAGCATATTAATATCACAAATTCATAAGCATGTTTTACTTGGTTGGTTATTGCATCAAGTTCAATAATACAGCCAGGGCGGGCAGTAGACTGTTGGCTCACAATATTAAACACCTCTCCAATTAGTTTCTGTAAATAAAATATACACAAGATTAATAAATACCAATTTACAAATCCGTATATCTTAGACAACAAATCCCTTTTTAAACATTCACTACAATGTCATCATTAATACATTTCAATAAATACTGCAACTTTCTATACACATTCTAATTCTCATGTAAAATGTAAATAGGTAGTTAAAGAAATCTAAAGTATGTAAACAGCATATAACTTCAAAGCATCTAGTTCTTTTAATATATTTCTTCATTTTCACTGGCTTTGTAAGAAACAAGCAGATTTGAGCAGACAGTGAATTTCTATGATTTCCACTTTTTACAGTGAAGGAGAACTCGAGATAATTCCATGACCTCTGGAGACAGGAAAATGTATTGCAATGAGGCATGTAACCCTGAGTGCATTAGCTGCCCTTCTGAGTTTGTTTTCTTAGCTGAAAATAGGAATAATATTATCACTATCAAGACTAAAATAAATGTCTTCAGAGACAGCTTTTAGTTATGATTGTGCATTCTTACTTCCTCCTTATCTATGGGAAGATGTAAGACAAAAGAACCAATAAATGTTCAGGGGATCATTCCCTCCCACCACACCCTCATTAATCACTAACTCTGTAATTAAATGTCCCTGATTCCTATCATTGTCTATTGTTCCTTACTCTATAATTCCAAGGGCAAAATACTTACGTATTTATTACATTCCTTCTCAAAATACAAGGTAATCATAGATCTACTTGGTTTTTCCCTAGCAAAAATAAGTTACTCAATAGATTGCCCCACATATTCAGCTCGCATTTTGTTTATTAAATGAAAGTAAGACTCTTCATATGGGTTTTTGTCAGATTCACACACACAAAAAATATCTGTGGCAGTATTTCTTAAATTGAAAGATATAAATAATTAAATCAAAGCAATTTATATGCTCACAAACATTTTCTAATAGAATGGAATAAAAAAGGCAATGTAAAAAATGTTTAATATTAGAAAATATTTCATAAAATTTCGTTTTACTTATGTATGTATACACACATACATAAGTTTAAAACAGTTTTTCTCTGAGGCAACTAAAACTCTAATTAAAAAGTTAAAAATCTAAATAAATCAAGTAGGTTCATGTTTATATACAGAATTAATGATATTAATATGTGGCTTTCCCCCAATTTGATCTACAGAGTCAACATAATTACAATCATAATCCCAGTAGGTTATTTTGTAGATACTGAAAAACTGATTCTGAAGTTTCTATGCAAAGACAAGACCAAGAATAGCCAATGCAGGCAACCTCCAGATTACAAAGGAGATCTGTTTCTATTGTGTCTTTAAGCATTTACAAGTCAGTTGTAACAGTGAATATCCAATTCTTTTTCAGTCTTTTTTGAGTGCCCAAAAAAGCAGAAGCCTATTCATGAAAGCAAAGACTTAGAAGTGATTTAAAAGCTGGACCTGCAGCAAGTGAGAAGTGTGATGAAGAATTTTTTAAAAAGCATTGTTTTCAAGGTGAGGGTAAATTTTTATTACATAAAAACAGGGCTTCAAAGATGGCAGCTACATGGTTTTAAATGTGTGGTTCTCCACGGTCTGGCCAGTAATCCAGTCACACCCACGAAAGGGCTTACTATGCCTCTAATGGGTCTTCCATTACTGGGTTCTGACCTGTCATTCTTCCTATTGTGGTTGCCATAACAAATTACCCAAATCATACAAATTCTGGTCTGTTCTTGTTTGGCCTCATCATCAAAAGGTTAAGAAGAAGCTATCTGTAAGACAGATATGCATAAGCCAGGAAATGCATGCACAATACTGATTGGCTAACACTTGCCAATTTCAAGACTTACTTTAAAACTTATTACGGTAGTCAAAACAGTATGTCACTGACAAAAGAATACACAAATAAATCAAAACCATAATAGAAATCCCAGAAACAACTCATGCAAATGTAGTCAAATGATCTTTGAGGAATAAACACAATGTAATGAAAAAAGGACAGTCATTTCAACAAACAATGCTGTTTCCATGTGGAAATCCATGGGGAAAGTAATAATCCAAAGATTTTATATCATCCACAAAAATTATCTTGAAATAGAATACAGACCTAAATGTCAAATGCAAAACTATACAACTTCCAGAAGATAAGGCTGGAGAAAATCGAGATAATATTGGACTTAGGAATGAGTTTTCAGCTACACCAAAGACAAGATCCACAGAAGAAGAAACTGGACAGTTGGACATCATTAAAATTAAAAACCATGTCATGAAAGATACTGTTAAGAGAATGAAAAAAGCAGCCACAAAAAGCATTTATTAAAACACCTGGCTGATAAAAGATCTGCAACCCAAATAGACAAAGAACCTTAAAAATCAACAGTTACAAAACAAATTCATTTTTAAATGGGCAAACTACCAAAACAGAGACCACACAAAGAAGATACACAGATGGATATAAGCATACGAAAAGATGCTCACCATTATATATTATCAAAGTCAAGTTAGAGTCATTGTCATCGAGTCAGACTGACTCACAGCTGACCCTCCAGCAGGTTTTCCGAGGCTATAAATTGCACTGGCAGAGAATTTCATCTTTAGATGATTAATCTGAACTGCCAGAGAGGTGCCACCTCTGGGTTCGCAGCACAACTCCCTATGGACTTGGCCAGCAGAGCTCCTGGTATATTATTATGGAATTGTAAATTAAAATAGATAACACATCTCTACTAAAATGTCTGAAATCCAAACTATCACACCACCAAATCTAGCATGGTATTCTTAAGAAAATACTTGGAAGAGTATGGGCAGGACTGGCTGGCAAGACAAAGAAAGAGGTATAGCGTGTGAATCATATGCATAAAATTATAGTATGTCTAACATAGAATGAAGAATGTATTGTTATTACCTAACCACCAGGTTCCACCACATCAGCTCTGGTCCATAGTAACCCTGCGTACATTAGAACAAACCCCTGCCTGAGCCTGGGCCATACACATTAGGCAAACTCTGCTTTGAAGAAACTGTTCTTGCCCAGTAGCACTGTGGCTATCTTCTAACCTGGAGGCTCCTCTTCCAGCACTGAATTAGACTATGCTACACTGCTATTCACAGAGCTTTCAAGAGCCCATTATTTCAGAAGTGGCCAGCCAGTTCTGCTTCCTACTCTGCCTCACTCTGGAAGTTCCACCAAACCTTGTCTACCCTGAGAGGTCCTGCTGGCTCTCTGAAATACTGCTGGCACAGGTGGTAGATAAAGGTGTAGACAACATTAAAAACAGAATCATCAGCTTTGATATATTAGTAAAAATTAGTAAATACATACCGAAGACTCTGGGTCTGACAATTCATCTAATAATTTCCTTGCATCTACCACAGCTTGATAAAGTCTCAGATTTTTGCCATCAGAAGCAACAAAGCAAGCACTTGCAGAATTGCAGTATGTGCCTTAAAAAGTAAAATAAAGGCGTTGCATTATAATGTGTAGTTCTCTTTTATAATTGGCTGAAGTCTGAGGCCTAAATATTCATACTTTACTTTTACGTCATGGTCCAGAATCGTAAATAAAATTTGTGTGCAATCATTGTTCTAACAAGAAATAGAACAGAAAATAGACTGAGGGAAGGAACTAAAAGCTCAGTTCTAAAAATTCTAAAAAGAAATTCACTGCTTACATTCTGCAAAACTCATTTTAAAATCCTCTTAATGACAACAAGCTATATACATGTAACAAACTTATAGTTTAAAAGTGTTTATTCATTTCAAAATAAAAACAAATACTTACCAAGACAATAGCTTGGAATAAGAGTTGGAAGCCAAGCCACATTAGAGAAGGCTGAGGTATGTAATGAGTTAATTCGTGCCAATTCTGAAACTCCTCCAGTGTAAGACAAAGGTCCTATTGGGTCTACACGCCACAGAATAAGTTCACTGTAGATAGCATTAGGGTCATGAAATGTACACGTTGCTGCATTCCTAAGAGGTTGCTTTAAGGAACCTTTCATATGTTTAATAGGATCCTTTATTCTACCTAATTTATTCTCTGAATCAGATTCAGGAGTCAACAAAGCATTATGATGAGATGACGTCAGTAACAGTGGTAAAACTGAATGGCATGCCAGATCATTGAGGTGAAATCGATGACCACAGTATCTAAATTTGTGTGATACAGTAAGAACAGTGGTAAACGCAGACTTATCCGCAAAAGTGACAGCCCACTGATTCAAAGAACCATCGATGTGTTTAGAGACCATCATTACTGTGGGAGCTAAAATGTTCATATTTGGACTATGTGATCTGGAGTAGGGCTGTGATCCAGGAGGACTGCCTGGAGCCACCATCTCCTGGTGTAACGGAGCATGGTAAGAATCCTTTGTAGCATTTATGCAGGCATACATCATAATATTTTTACTAAGAGAGCTTGCATCACCAGAGGGAAATGCAACAGGAATCTGAGAAGAAAAAGAAACCTGAAAAGAAAAAAACACCAAAACCCATAATTATATGATGCAGTGCAAACAGACACATATCACTTTCAATCGTTTCACAGGCTAATTCTTTCTAAGTATCTAAAATGCATTATCTACTTGTGGACTTGCACAAGATTCTAGGGGAAAGGTTTACAGTGCCTCTTGTTTGTAAATCAAATGCAGAGCTCTAGATAGAAATCAAGTTGATAAGGATAACAAAGGCAGCCTGATCTAGGTGGTAAAATCAGGGTAAGGGAAAGCCCACCCTGAGGTCCATTTCAGGGTAGTGTCTCATTTTCATCCATAAGGTTGTGAAGTCCCAGAAAAATCGGCGTACATATCCAAATATGCAGTATTACATTTCAAAGCCAAATAAATTTCCTTTTAATCGATCAGGCTTGTAAAATTTATAGCCACTGATCTCCTTTGGTAGCTTATATTCTTAGTTGCTTATAAAAACAACTAACATTTTGACTAATGCTGAAAAACTACTAAATCTACATATGTTAACATCATACATCATAAACACCTATTTTAGTATCTTTTAATTTTCTACTAGTTTATTTACAAAATTTGAATACATTGTTTTCAAGGAGAAATTCTTACTTTTTAAAAAGAAATGCAATAGTTGCTTCATCAGTAATATATACCTGAACTTGTCTAAATATCCCAGGATTATATTCATCCAAATACTTTACGTGCCATACTAGAAAGGTACCATCTACAGGATGTATTGTAAAGAGCATGTCAGGATTCTTATTCCATTCTGTAAGCAGCATTTCAATCTTCCGATCAAGCAGGACTGTAGGCAGTGGCATCAGGATGTGAGGTCGTGAGGAGGTCCTAGGACTTCCCTCTCTCTCTCCATCTTCATGTTCTGATGATCCTGTACCTGCCTCAGATTCTCTATCCAGGGATAACTCTGAACCAGAAAACACACTTATCAGTACATACTTAATATGTAGTAACAATGAACTTTCATCCATGTGTACCATACTATAAAATGGTGCATTATCTTTAAAACCAATAGATCTCTTTTCCAATTTATAATCAAAAGACAAAAGACTCTGTAGCCTGAAATTAATGACTCTATTCCTTCTGTGTCCTTTTTTTCTATTTCTTATTTTCCAATAAATCGAATTTCACTCATACTATCATTATTCTTACCCCAAGCAAAATCAAGAAAATATTAAGTATTAATATAAAAGTAAGAAAACATATAATGTTAGATGATGTTTTCAAGATCTAGCCAAATTCCTGATCCATCATAGATGACCAAGAAAAAGTTGCAGAATGAATGGGAGAGTAAAAAGGAGGGATTCGAACCTAAAGTGGTACCACAAAAAACCTGTTACTTCTAAATCAAGAATAACTCTAACAGCACAGGACACTAACCATGGTCTAGTTTCATATGTAACCCTCTCTCTCTCTCATCCAGTGAACGTTCCTCATCCTCTCTGTCAACATCATCACTCTCATGATCTCCCTGCTTTTCAGAAAGTTTTCGCAACTGCTGCATAAATATTTCAGTGGATGATGTAAAATGAAATTCCTTGTTGTTTAGCCAATGAACTACAAAGCCCCCATTTCCATCATCAACATTAAATGCAGTGCCAACCAAGACATTGGGAATATCTGTGGAAACAAAAAAAAAGGAAAGATTTCATGTTAATGTTTGGTTTCTTTAAAAATATTATAAATATTATAATAACTAACTTACACAGAAAAATGTGCTTAAGCAAGCCCACATTATTGCAACAGCAATTTGTTTTTTAAAAAGTTATCAACAACTGGTAAAAACAAATATTAAGAAATAATTATCTAAGACTTATATAAAATTAAATTACTCCTTTTAAAATCAACCAGAAATGCAATACATGAACCTCTACTGAATCCTATTTGGAGGAGGGAGGTAAAAAAGATAATATGAAAAAGCAATTATAAAAACAGTTTTGAGGTAACTGTAAAATTCTAAATATGGATAATGCATATCATGTAACTTCTACTTAGTTATGAGAAAGATAATGATTATCATTTTTATAACTAAGAATTTCCTTATTCTTAGAAGAAAATTAAAATATACAAGAATGAGAATCAGAGTATCTGCAACTTCAGTTGAAAAGTAAGTTCCTTAATCTCATGTGAATATATACTGGAGGAGAAACTGAAAGTAAAATAACTGGCAAAATATTAAAAAATATTGAATCCAAGTGGAATAGCTAAGAGTGTTCACTGTAGTATCCTTCTAAGTTTTTTTTAAAAATGTTTAAAACTGCTAGCAGTGTGGTGGATAAAGAAAACCCAAAGGCAAGCATCTTGAATTTACCAGTTGCTCATGCGATTCACATCCTCTGAAAACCTGCTGGAGGGTCAGCTATGAGTTAGTCCCAACTTGGCAGCAAAGAACACCACCACAACATAAAAGACTAGGGAAAATAATGTTAAGAAGGCAGACAGCCCACCTGACAAACTTCTAAATCCAGCAAATTTCTCTAATTGTGAAAACTGAAATTGATTTCTTCAAACCCAACAATCCAAATATTAATCTCTGTGCTCCTAATCCATATTATAAATTACTCGTTTACAGAATAAATAGCAAAACTGTCTCCTCCACAAAAGGAAATGAAAAGTCTAAAGATAAAATGCACAGGATAGTCTATTAGTGCTCTATTTAATAAATGTTACGTGTTAGAGAAAGCTCTAAACTGTTCTTTTCTCCAAGGTCCTAGATGACAGCCCTAAATCCTAGCTTTGTTATTAAAATGAAACAGATTCTAAAAAGTGGGATTCATAAACTCAATCCTAAGAAAACATTACACTGTTTATATTCTTGTTTAAAATATTTAAGCTTAATCTACTCATAAACATTCAAACTTTGTGACTATTCACAATGTGACAGCCTTTCTGTCAGAGAATGCTGCTGTTTATTTCATTGCCATGCTTAAGTCAGAGTCTCCTAAAGAGCCTGAGCAGCTGCAGAAACTATACATTGGAGGGTTGAGCTTTGAAATGACAGATGAAAGTCTGAGGAGCCATAATGAGCAATTGGGGATGTTCAAAGACTGTGTGGTAAAGAGAGATCTTAATACCAAGCTCTCTAGAAGCTCTGGGTTTGTCACATACTCAACTGTGGAAGAGGAAGACACAGTCATGAATGCAGGACCCCACAAGGTGGGTGGAAGAGTTGTGAAACCTAAGACGGCTGTCCCAAGAGGAGATTTTCAAAGACCAGGTTCCCACTTAATTGTGAAAAAGATCTTTCTTGGTGGAATTAAAGAAGATGCTAAAGAATATCACTTGTGAAAATTATATCAATAGTAGGGGAAATCTGAAGTGACTGAAATCATTGACTGACTAAGGCAGTGGCAAAAAGAAGGGGCTTTGTTTTTGTAATTTTTGATGAACATGATTCTGTAGATAAAATCATTATTCAGAAATATCATACTGTGAATGGTCACAACTGTGAAGAAAGGAAATCCCTGTCAAAGCAAGAAGAGATGGCCAGTGACTCTTCCAGCCAGAGAGGTCAAAGTGGTTCTGGAAACTTTGGTGGTGGCCATGGAGGTGGTTTTGGTGGGAATGACAACTTTGGTCGAGGAGGAAACTTCAGTGGATGAGGTGGCTTTGGTGGCAGTCGTGGCGGTGGAGGAGATGGAGGCCATGGAGACGGTTATAATGGATTTGGTAATGATGGAAGCAACTTTGAAAGTGGAGAAAGCTACAATGATTTTGACAATTACAACCATCAATCTTCAAATTCTGGACCCATGAAAGGAGGAAACTTTACAGGCAGAAGCTCTGGCCCTTTTGGTGGTGGAGGTCACTATTTTGCGAAATCACAAAACCAAGGAGGCTTTGGTGGTTCAAGCAGTCACAGTTGTGATGGCAGGGGAGATGCTTTAGTAACTTCCAGGAAACAGAACTTAGCAGAAAAGGAGAGTCAGAGAAGGGGCAGGGAAGCTACAGGTTGCAAAAGATTTGTGAACTCAGCCAAGCACAGTGGTGGCAGGGCCTAGCTGCTACAAAAAAGACATGTTTTAGATAATATTCATGTGTATGGGAAAAAACTCAAGGACTGTATGTGTGACTAACTGTATAACAAACAGGTTATTCTAGTTTCTGTTCTGTGGAGAGTGTAAAGCATTCTGAAAACAAGGGTTTTAATGTATCTATTTGTTTTTTGCACTCATTCAATTGACTGCCAAATAGTCTGATCATGACACTGAATAAATGTTTTATATATATATATATAGTTACATATAACAGCTAAAAAACAAACAAAAAAATCAAATGGACTGTTCTAGACTTGAGGAAAAGGTGTGCAGATCAAATCTGCCAGCAGCTCTTTGGAGTAAGATAGGCAATCTCCAAACTACAGCCTCTGAAAACCTGTTGGAGGGTCAGTGATGGGTCTGTTCCAACTTGAAAGCTAGGAGCAAGTAAGGGTGAGTCAGTGATAGAGAAACAACAACCACATGCAAATTTTGATCTTTGGATCTTGAATCCATTTCCTAAAGTCTATATTTGAATATAAACTATTATTTATGATACCATGTACCAATGTCAGGCAGGTTCTTTGCATGTGATAATGGTGTTATTTGGGAAAAATCCCTTTTTGCTTAAAGATACATTCTGGAAAATTTTGCTTTCAAATGATTTGGGGAAAAAATAAGGGCAAAAGGAAGAAAAGGTACAAGCAGAGAGTCTGAAAATGAATGCGAATTTGGCATGTGAATGAAAGTAGTTGTTAATGATACAAAACAAAACTTTCTTGTCCTTTACCTGTGGCAGGGTTGATGCTTGCCGCAATGTGAAAATGACAGAGTGCATTAGCATGGTGAGAAATGTGTCTCCGAACTTCGTGTGTCCCCATCTGGTCAGGCATCAAATCAGTGTGTGTTACAAGAACAGAAGATCTTCTTTGTCCTTTTCTTAAGTTTTTCAAATGGTGTATTGTCTGAAACAAAAGGTAAACAACTGACTCAAATTCTAGAAGGTCTAATAAATGCCAACCAAAGTACTTCTTATTATTAAGGTTTTAAACATTTCCCTCAGACAAATCTAACTACTAAAAAATATATTTTCTTAAATACAGTAGAACAATGCTAGAAATACTGCTGTCAATTTCATCTTGGCTCAGAAATACTTATTACTGTTACCTATAAAATAACTCCTGTTAAAATTAGGAATTCCAAAGTCTATTTTGGTATATTTGTTATTATTGTTGCTTATTTTTTTATTTTTCAAGATACTCCAATAATAAAATGTAATTTATTGATCACAAAAGTAAAGGGAAAATATCATACCAGAAATAAGAATATTCTTTCTTAAAATTCTAGAGAACAGAAATACAAACTAATAAAAAGAAGAAACTTAGGTAAGATAGGAAAAAAACACTGAAGTATTAGCAAATGAAATTTGCTTCAATTGAGATATATTTATACAATAGTACAGACTCTCATTAGCATACCAGATCATCATGTCTATTCTGGACAACAGGACATGATCACTTTGCCACATCATAATTCACCTCGAAGTATTTCCTTTTCTGTAATCAAATCTACCTTTATCCTATACTTACTCATTTTCCATTCTTTCGCTATATTCTCCACATTGAATTCAATAAAGCATAGAGCAGTGCAGGACATTTTGGTAAGCTCTCTGAAACACTAACAGATTCAATTCACCACCAAGCCCTATCATTTCTTTTTCTGGTCCTTCCTTTCAATTTCCACAGCCCTTATCCCTTTACAAGGAGTACTGATGGCACAGTGTGTAACATAGCAGGCTGCTAAATGATATGCTAGCCATCTGAATCCATCGGCTGCTCTGAGGGAAAAAGACAGGCAATCTCCTTCCCTAAATATTTACTGCCTTCGAAACCAGATGGAGGGTCACGGTGAGTCTGAACCAATTTGACAGCAGTGGGTTTGATCTGGTATCTCCTCCCAGAAGCCACGGCAGCGGAGCAGCTGGCAGATGCAAACCATTTGCCTTTGGGTGGCCAATATACTACAGTTTGGATTGATAAAATTACTTTATGAGAAAAAGATACATCTTCTCCCATGCAATTTACAGCCTCTGAAAAGCCAAGGGAGGTTCAGCTATGAGTAGGTTTTGAATCATCAGCATGTAACAATAATCTAGTTCTAAGGAGCTCTGGTCCCATAATGCATTATGTGTTAGACACAAAAGGTCTACAGATGCTATGAGAGAGGAAAAAGGAAGCAATCTCCTCCCACAGAGATTTGCAGCCTCATGAATTGAAGCAGCACTGTCATGAGCCAAACAGACTCAAAGACAGTGCTTTTGATTTTTTGTTTTAATTTAACTTTAGAATAAGCACATATTCCTTGTAGGGAAAAAACAGTTCCAAGAAAAACTATGAAAATTAGTAGTCTAATATTGCTGTTATTCCCAAATCAAAATAGGAAATAAAATGCTGCCTGTAAATAATCCAATTTCTTAGACTGAAAGTACTACTATGCTACATAGAGAAACGGGTAATAATATTTCACTTTCATGACATTTTTAATAAACTATGGAAAAGGTAATTATGTAGGTTCTTGTATCTAATGTCTTAGTAATATCTTATTCTTAAGGATCAAAATACTGAAACCTCCCACTGCCATCAGATCGATTAAACTCATGATGTCCTACAGAACAAAGCAAAATTGTCCATAGGGTTTCCAATGCTTTCAATCTTTATGGAAAGAGACTGCCACATCCTCTCCCACAGATCAGCTGACAGACTTATAATGCTGTCAAATTCTTTAGCCACTATGCCTCCAGGGGACCTTTCAGGGTTCTGTAACAGCTTGCCTCCGGAAACCCTAAGAACCTGGAGAGAGGATGACAGACACCCAAGTGTTGAGGATTCTCCTTCATAGGGTCACTATGAGTCATCTGCGACTCGACGGCACTTAACAACAACATGCCTCCAGGGATCCTAGAATCAAAATCTTTCTTTTTATCAGAACACTAAAGTAAATTTTAATCTTCAAGAATCAGAAGTGAAAAAATTTCATTACAATGATTCTAAGAATATGTAACATGTTTTACTATTAAAAATTGTTGGCCTCTATAGATTTTCCTATCTGCATGCAAAAGAAAATAAAAGCATATTCTTTGTGGAGACTACAAGGGTAATATAGTTACCATCTGCCTCTGGCCTCTCACCAACCTGATAAAATGAGTGAGAAGTCTGGCAGGCATAAATTAATTCACTGATATTATCTGCATTATTGTATGTACCATATGTACCACCTGCATCCTTGGTTACGAAAGTTCCACCAGATTCAGATATCTTCACAATTCATTCACCATCCTATGTAATAAAGTACCTCAAGAGCATGCTGTATTCTGTCTTTGTGCATCCCAGCTTGAGAAAGATCACTGGCGATGCTGGAAGTGGTAGTCTCACAAATCTGCTCACCCAAAAGGCAGTCTTCTGGTAATAAGGTTTCTGCCCAGAGCCGGCAGACACCATCATGACATGATGTTAACAACACATTACAAACAGAGCCCCTAATGACAAAGAGAAAGAAATCAAAGCTACTATCAATATTAATATCACAAATCAATCTAGTAAAGGCTGCTACTATGTGGCTCTTCATGGATAAAGATGGCATAAGTGTAAAATCAGCAGTATGATTTATAGGTAGTTTGTTTTATAAGATTGATAAAAAGTTTCTACTGATTATTTCATACTCTCATCCAGCGTTACATATTACCTGCTCATATCTGGAAGGTGACAGGCCAGAAAGCGGGCTGTAATCAGTTATAATAAAACAGAAGCCGACTGTAAGGGACACTCACTTTTCATCATTAAAGTCAAGTCTTAAATAAAAACCTAAACCCCAGTGCAGTATGTGTCCAATTGTTCGACAAACTATACTACATGGAGAAAATAAAATACCAAGAGGTGAAAGACAATTAAGTATTGTTAGTGACAAAATGGCTATAATAATCACATCAACAATTGTAGCCTTTCCTAGCACCTTCTTATAATCTAAACAGCTACAAATGGGCCTTTCTAAATAAGCATTTTCATACTGAAACAAGGAGAAAAGAATTCTAAAGCATAAATCAATTTCTGTTAAGTTAAAAATTAAAAATGGAACATCATTAAACAGTTGAAGTCATTTAATAGCTGGTTTTGAAAGAATAACAAAAATCATTCAACAATTTTTAAAAATGCTCACATAGTAAAGTGGACTGGGGGGATTGTCTAACAAGGAAAGAATTTTTTTCTCTTTTCAAAGAGAAAAGCGAACTGGAAGGGAGAGGAAAATGTGCAACAATGAATGAATGGAAATCCAAGTTCTCTATAATCTTTCATTAAAATCTCAATTTAAAAAAGTTGGAAATAAACAAAAAAGTTTATCTTTTGCTTTTCAAAGAGAGGAGCGAACTGGGGTGAGGGGGTAAAGAAAAAAGTGCAACAATGAATGAATGAAAATCCAAAATCTCTGTAAATATTAATTAAAATTAATACTTTTTTTAAGTTGGAAATAGAAAAAAAATCCTCACACAGAATTTTATCCCATTAAAAGTAAAATATTCTGCAAATATTTTTATAGATGCTAATAACTTAAGCAGAGTAATCTTTTTTCTTTTGTTTCCAAAAATGTATAAATTTTCCAGGTTCTTATTTCCTGAGCAATTCTAAGTGCTGTACTTCCCAACAGCAGGTATAAACAGTTCTCTGATACACTCAGTAAATAAAACAATCCTCAGGAAGCAGGTATAAACAGTTCTACGATATACTCAGTAAAACAGTCCTCAGAAGGAACAAAGTTCTCTAAGTAACCTCGCCAACAGCTTTTTCAGAGCTCTATCACATAAAGCCTATACCACATAGGGTCTCTATGAGTCTCCTAGGACTCGACGGCACTTAACAACAACATCACCACATAATACAGCAATTATCTGTATGAGCTGTTTGTATTTTATTTAATCAATCTTCTAAATAGGTTTAAAAGACGTCATAACGTGAGGAAAAACTTAAACTAATAAATCCTTTGCGAAGGTTCTGTTGACAGCCCTAAAATAAGCAAAAAAAAAAAAAACCACAAAAACTTTTTTTTAAAAAAAACAACAACTTTATTCACTATATAGAAATACTTCAGAAATATTATAGGGTCAGTTCCAGACCACTCAATAAACTGAATCTACACAGTTTGTTTGTGTTTCCTGATGTATACAAAAAACATATTTATACTATACTGTAGTTTATTACGTGTATAACAGCATTAAGAAAAAGTCTGAAGTAATGAGAGAATTACCAAAATGTGAGAGAAACATGGAGTAAGCACAAGCTAGTGGGGGAAAACCGTTGGATAATCTTGCTTAACACAGGGATGATACACAGCTTCAATATGTAAAATCTGTGAAGTGTGATAAAGTAAGCTGCAATAAAATAAATGAGACAACCTATCATTTATTCTTATCACTGTTGAGTCAAATTCAACTCATAATGACCCTACATGGCAGGGCTGACCTGTCTCATAATGGGTTTTAAGCCAGAATCTTTATAGAAGCAGATTGCCTCATCACAGCTGGTGGATTCAAACCATCAACCTTTCAGTTTGAAGTCAAATACTTTAACAACTCCACCACTGGGGGTCTTTAGGGTATGCTTTATCAACAGCCAATTCTTTAACACCATGCTTCCTTTTCTCCCACAGAGCTTTGGCAGTGTGGTCCACAGAGAGCTGTGCTGCTGACTCAAGGGCCAGACCTCTCTGGTCATTCAAATCCAGCAGCTGTGCAGAAGATGAGGGATCTTCTGCTAGATTTACAGCCTCAGAAACCCAATGGAGGGTCAGCCACATCTCAGAGACAACAAATTTGAGTTTCATGAAGGTTTTCCTCTCCATGTGTGCTTTCCTGCTACTTGTGCACATTTTTTCTTACAATCTTCTAATACCACAGCTGTTTACTAACAGTAACAATAGCTACATGTGCACATACTATGTGTAAGGCACACACAAATACATTTTAGCCTCATAACAACTTTCTAAGGCAGGTATGATTACTACTGTCATTTTACAAGAGAAAAACAGATGCACTTGGAATTAGTAATTTGGTCTAAAGTTAATACAGTTTTTGACAACAACAGGTTGTGAAGTCAGGCAGTTTCTGTGGGGTTTTTTTTAATTGTTGTTGTTGTTGTTATGTGCCGTCGAGTCGCTTGCGACTCATAGCAACCCTATGCACAACAGCCCTAAACTATACTCTGTCCTGTGCCAGTCGCACTGTCTCTGACACTCCCATCCCGATAACCACAGTCACCAAATCAATCCACCTCATAGAGGGCCTTCTCCTCCTGCGCTGTCCCTCCACCCTCCCAAGCATGATGTCCCTCTCCAAGGACCAGTCTCTTCTTACAACATGTCCAAAGTATGTTAGACGGAGCCTCAGAAACCCTGCTTCCAAAGAGAAACCCGGTTTAACCCTTTCCAGGAAGAATCTGTTTGTTTTCCTAGCAGTCCATGGTACTCTCAATACTCTTCTCCAGCACCACAGCTCAAAGGCATCAATTCTCCTTCTATCCTCCTTCGTCATTGTCCAACTCTCTGATGCATAACAAGTGATTGCAAAGACCAGGGCCTGTATCAGACGCACCTTAGTCTCCAGAGAGACACCATTGCTCTTCAGTACTTTGGAGAGGTCCCTAACAGAAGATTTTCCCATGGCAATGCGCCTTTTAATTTCCTGGCTACTGGTGCCAGAGCCTATATTCTCAATCATCACCATGATGCATGCTACAGTAAGAAAAACCATTATCTTTATATATATTATTTTTATAAATACTTAAGCATACAATTTGAAGTTTTCTGACACATTTTTCTAACCTGGGCATATACTTGCTAGTTTTGCGCCATGAAAAACCTGTTACAGCTCGGGGATGTGCCAAGTAAACAAAGGAGAACTGAGAACATGACTGCTTCCTTTTCACTTCACGATGATCCTGAGGTATAATTGAAGACTTCCAACCGGTCATGGGATACCACACTTTCAAAAGACAATCATCCTGCAAAAATAGATAGGTGAACAAAAAATTAATCTGAACATTTATAATTCAAAATTTAAAGACTTGAATTTGTTACTAAAGTTAAGCAATACCTTAAAGTTAACATGTGATGTATACTACACACATGTAGTTCCTAGGTTACAAATGCCTAAATCACTCATAACCCATAGTTAGAAACCAACTGTGGAGTCTATTATATTAGAAATCTGAATTGAATATGGCAGTTGGTAACGACAATCTGGCCTCACTTCATAACAGGGAACAAAACATTACCTCTGTCACACTGTATTATTACATTAAAGATGTTTTAGTGTTTCTGAAGGGGTTTTTTTTAGTATTTTCAATGCACAGAAAGGTGTACTAAATACTAGATAACAAGATAAACACTTGACCAAATGATAGTAGATAATAACCATACCTGTTTGAGCTTGCATAAAAAAATCCATTTATAATGCAACAATGAATGAATGGAAGCCCAAAATCTCTGTAAATGTTTATGAAAATTAATAAAATATAATTATAGAAAAAAATCCATTTAAAGGCAGATTTAGGAGTGGAATGTATCTATAAGATAAGGACTGCCTGTAGTATAAAATGGAATCTAAAATGGTGTTTATCACTGTAATGAAATACAATTCTTGAAAAGCAAATAGACAGTTTGCTCATTATCAATCTTCTCTAAGTGTTTTTCAAGTGGAGACTAATGGCAAATTTTCTCCACTAAAATTTCTTTTTAAGTCATTGTCTAGAAAAGCTTTCTGAAACCAGATGGCAACCTTTTATTACCAGTGCTAAGGATAAGAAGGATGTGACATTATCAGTCATTGTTTTCATCTTTTTCTTTCCAAAAGGGTGATACTGGTGGAAACATTTTTTAACTATAAATTGCTTCTAGATCTAGGTGGGAAGTCAGTAGTTATTTCTATAAAGGGCCATGTAACAGATGTGTTAGACTCTATATTCCACACAGGTCTCTGATGAACACTCTCTTTGTTCTTATCTTTTATTTTTCTATTGATACTTTGAAAAGGCAAAAACCATTCTTAGCTCAATCACTATAGATTCCTGATCTCTGCTCTAATGACCTCAAAATCAGACATCATTTGTATTCTCAAGTAAAATATTTATAGGCATAACAATAAGTACTGACTTAACTGTTTAATTATTTGTCATAATTTTGTTAAAGGCTTAAATAACTGCATCTTCCTTAACAGAAACTATATTAAGTACTACCTGGTACTACTTTATACTGAATGATAAAAATTCATGAATGAAAACACTAAAATGTTGTCACTTACACAAAGACATCAATTTCTAAGAAACAGTGAAATTAAGCATTACTGAAAAATTACTGTATAGGTTCAAAGTTTCAATCTGGACTAAACAAATATTTGGGGGGTTTTTTGTTCACTCATCTTAAATGTATAGTGCATAATGAAATAGATGTTTCCATTGTTGTTGTTATGTGCCGCTGAGTGGCTTGCGACTTACAGCAACCTTTATGGACGATAGCTCAGAACTCGGTTCTATCCTGAGTCAGTCTCGCGGTTGCTGACACATCTGCCCAATACTACAGTCACTCTGTCAATCCATCTGATCCAGGTCTATCTCTGCTAGGCTATCCCTCCATTCTTCTAAGCATGATGTTCTTCTCTAAGGACTGATCCCTCTTGACAACATGCCCAGAGTATGTCTGACAAAGCTTTGAAATCCTTGCCTCCAGGGAGCAACCTGGTTTTACCCTCTCCAGGACAGACCTGTTTGTTCTCTTAGTAGCCCATGGTATGCCCAACACTCTTCTCCAGCACTGTAACTCAAAGGCATTAATTCTTCTGATATCCTTATTCACAGTACAGCTCTCTGATGCATAGCTAGCTATTGCAAAGACCATGGCCTGGATCAGGCATACCTTAATTTCCAGGCTAAAAACCTTGCTTTTTAGCATTCTAGAGAGGTCTCTGACAGTAGATTTACCCAACGCAAATTGTCTTTTGATTTCTTAACTGCTAGTGCAAAGAGTGCTCACTGTGAAATCAAGCAAACTGAAACTGTTACCAATTTCATTCTATTCTCCACCTTTCATGATGCTGCCCAGAGATGACAATCTCTGTTTTCTTGAACTGGGTTCAGAAGAGACGTGACACTGGGACATCACTGCCAATGTCAGATGGATCTTGGCTGAGAGTAGAGTACCAGAGAAATGTCTATCTGTGTATCATTAACTATACAAAGGCATTTGACTGCATGGGTCACAACAAATTCTGGCTAATCTTTTCAAGTGTTTACCAGTCCTTGGAAAGAGACATTATGCTTGGGAAGGTGAAACTGAGGAGGACCTGAAGCGCCTGCTGCAGAGTGTCAAGGACTGCAGCCTACAATATGGATTGAGGCTCAATGTTAAGAAGACAAAGATTCTCACCACTGGACCAATCGGCAGCATCAGGATGGATGGTGAAGAGATTGAGATTGTACACAGCTTTAGTTTGCTTGGCTCCATAGTCAACAGTCTTGGCACCAGCAGCCAGGAAATTAAAAGGCGCATTGCCATGGGAAAGTCTGCTGTTAGGGACCTCTCCAAAGTGCTGAAGAGCAGTGGTGTCTCTCTGGAGACTAAGGTGCGTCTGATATAGGCCATGGTCTTCGCAATCACCTGTTATGCATCAGAGAGTTGGACAATGACCAAGGAGGATAGAAGGAGAACTGATGCCTTTGAGCTGTGGTGCTGGAGAAGAGTACTGAGAATACCATGGACTGCTAGGAAAACAAATAGATTTGTCCTGGAGAGGGTTAAACCGGGTGGCTCCTTGGAGGCAAGGATTCTGAGGCTCCGTCTAACTTACTTCGGACATGTAGTGAGGAGAGACCGGTCCTTGGAGAGGGACATCATGCTTGGGAGGGTGGAGGGACAGCGCAGGAGAGGAAGGCCCTCTATGAGGTGGATTGATTCAGTGACTGGGATAATTGGGATGGGAGTGTCAGAGACAGTGCGATTGGCACAGGACAGAGCGGAGTTTAGGGCTGATGTACATAGGGTCGCTATGAGTCGCAGGCGACTCGACGGCACATAACAACAACAACAACATGTACAATAGCTCTGAACCCTGCTCTATCTTGAGACAATTTCATTGTCTCTGACACACATACCCCTATTACCTCAGTCACTGAGTCATTCCATTTCATGCAGGGTCTTCTCTTGCACGGTTCCTCACCCCTTCCAAGCATAATGTCCCTCTCCAAGGACTGGTTCCTCCTGGCCACATGCCCAAAGTTTGTCAGACAGAGCTTCAAAATCTTAGCCTCTAAGGAGCAGCCTGGTTTCAACCTCTCCATGATGGGCTTGTTTGTTCTCTTAGTAGTCCATGGTGTATTCAATACTCTTCTCCAACATGACAGTTCAAAGGCACTGATCAATCTTCTATCATTCTTAGACCACACACACAAAAACCCTCAAGAGGTAACTTAAACATATTCAGAAGTCACAAGGAAAAGGCAGAGAACCTCCACAAGGTGGCACTCCAGTCTATTCTCCTATCCCCACTAACTTCCCTATATAATTAACACAAATTAAAAAGAAAAGATTAAAAAAATAATTAACACAAATTAAAAAGAAAATATTAAAAAAATAAGATATTTTCATTCTCCTTGTAGAATCTAAAAGAGGCAACTCTCTTACTCTGTTCTTTCAGAATTCATTTAAATAACTTGTAATTTAAAAATCTTTTTCTGTCTTTTAGAAATGTAAGTATACTTAAGGCATTATTAATTCAAGGCAGTCACCAACTTAAAACGTAACTTCAGGTAATAGTCCATAGACTTCTATTTTCAAAAGCAAAAAGGAGATTAACAAAACCAGTTTATTCAAGTCCAAAATTGTAAATCTAGCTACAGAAATTTACATAAAGATACTAGAAAGCGAGTCATGTTATCCTGAAAACATGAATGGGTTGCATTCATTCAGCTCTACAAAGTTTAAGATTTCCGTCTTTGAAACCTCCTTTGAGGACTGCCTGTGAAGTATCACATTTTGGTTTAAAGCTTAGTGATTAAAACTTTTCTTTCTCTTCTACATGTATGGATAATTTAGTCAATTGGGAGTAAATTTTGTTCTTAATTCTATTTCCCCCAACGTTCCTCAAATTCTAAAGCCATGATAGACTAAAATTAGAAGAACAGAAAGTTTTCTAGAAAGTCTCCAAATAATTAGAAATTAAACACATGTGTTATGCAGATGACACAACCCTGCTTGCTGAAACTAAAGAGGACACAAAACGTTTGCTGCAGAAGAAGACCAAGGACTGTAGCTTTTAATACGGATTGAAGCTCAACACCAAGAAAACGGACTCTCACCACTGGGCCAACTGGCAGCTTCATCAAGGACAGAGAAGAGATTGAGATTGTTGATAACTTCAGCTTGCTTGGTTCCACAACCAACACTCTTGGCACCATCAGTCACGAAATCAAAAGACAAATTGCGTTGGGAAAGTCTGCGGTCAGAAATATCTCTAGAGTACTGAAGAGCAACAATGTCAGTCTGGATTAATCACAATCAGGATAATATATATTATATATAATCATATATAATATATAATAATCTGGATTAATAATAATAATAATCAGGTGTGACTAATCCAAGCCATGGTCTTCACAATTACTTCTAATGCATCCGAGAGATAGCTAGGTGATAACTAAGGATGATAAAAGAAGGATTAATGCCTTTGAGTTGTGGTGCTGGAGAAGTGTTGAACACACCATGGACTGCCAGGAAAATAAACAAGTCTGTGGAGAGACAGGCTGCTCCACGGAGACAAGGATTTTGAAGCTCAGTCTCACATACTTTGGGCATGTGGCCAGGAAGAACCAGTCCTTGGAGAAAGACATCATGTGTGGAAGGGTGAGAGACAGCACAGGACAGGAAGAACTAGAATGAGGTGGATTTACTCAGTGATTGGAGAAATGCAATTAGGTCTGTTGGAGATGATGAGATTGGCTCAGGGTAGGGA